GACATACACACACACACATTTTCTTCAAAAAACAAGCTATATAAAGATGAGCTAATACAGTCTTGCTGAGAGTTCAGTCTACAAGACAGAAATCTATATGGATAGTTCAAAGGAAAGTGGATTTAATGACAAGAGTTAGTGCCTAAAAACTTATTGGAAGAGCCGGGGCAATGGAAGTTAGGGGAAGTTTTCTCCTGGACTCTTGATTTCAAGGTCACAGCCCTGCAGGTGGGATTCAGAGATCAAGAAATTAATATGTCCTCTTCACTGCTACTGTTTAAGAGGCCTCCAGCTCCTAAGTGGAACCTAGAAAGTGGAAGTTGGAGCCTACGCACTGCTGTAAGCTATCTTCCCTGTAAGAGCTCTCATATCAGCTGTCACTGTAGCAGGATGGTGACTGACTGCTGCCTTCCTTTGGTCCTTTAAATATGGCTCAAGCACATCTAATTGAAAGAAATTTTCTATTCAACAATTCAGCTGCAAGATTAGTATTTTTGACTTTCCATCTCCTGACCTATAGAGTGAGTAAGATATGAATGGACAGGTATTCCAGCGCAAGCACCAGTAGACCATACAAAACATACAATCTCTGCACTCAAAGAACATTGGAGGCTGACAAACAAAAGAACAGTTTCAGGGTCATGAAGCAAGTGCAGTGATGGGTTTAGGCATTATGCTGGTGGTGGCAGACAGTGTGCTTTTATGGTTTAACACTAGGGTAAGAAGTGAGAGAAGGGGTCGAAAAAGAGCTTTGTGGAGGTGAGGTAGCTTAAGCTAAAACTTAGGAGATTTGTAAGAGTGTATCACACAAAATGGAGAGAATGACATGCCAGGCATGTGGAAGAGAACAAAGGCCACAATCTATACAACAACATCATTACTACAGGCATAAAGGTAATTCAGGGAAGTGACATATAATGGAGTTGGTGAGTTCTGGATTTTACTGGGATCACCTTGTCACCATGTAGAAGGTTGATATGAATCTCCACAAAATAAGGGTATAAATACTTCAAGAATAGGGACAGAATGAGAAATGAGGATGATCACGGTGAAGAAAAAGATGGAATCACAGATAGTGTCCTTGTTTTGGATGTGATGGTTGAGGGGTGACATTAGGTCAGATTTTTAAGCTGGAACTACTTGACTGTAAATTCAGAGTTCTCCTTGCTGTTTCACTCTGCCTCAACTATGTTGGTACTGCCCATGTCATTGTATTTCTGATGATATGTCCAATAAAGCTCATGAGATCATGTGAAATATATACATGTTGATTTTTCAGCAGAGGAGAATTCTGGACTATTTGTGATTCTCAAAGTTTAAGAACCATTGAGCTAAGACTAGCTAAAGGGCTTTAATAACTGGTGTTAATACAGTATTGTTCTAGATTTCAAATGCCTGTTCATGGGTATAGCTTAAATTCGTGTTAAGTGGTTTTGCTTCAGGCAGTACAGTAAGTCAAAACTTCTCATTACATCAGATAGCAAGATGTTAGATACATCACAACAAAATATTTCCAGATGCACAGCTCAATTCTCAGGAGCAAGTGCCTCTGGGTCAAGTGTACAAAAAAACACTGTAGAGTAAGTGAAGCCTGGGAGGCTCTAGAGGTAAGCATCAGGTATAAATCCAAGAGCTTCATTACTTCATATTTATCTGGGGTATGGGTTGCTCAGAGTAAACACTAAGGGTGCACATGGAGGGCAAGTAGGGAACTGCGTTCTTCCAGGTGTCATGCTTATAAGGAAAGGTTCAAAGTGAAAATCATGCTGCCCAGCAAACCATGGAGGCAGCCTTTCTGCCACACCTGTAGCCAGATCGAAGAATAATAGCAATGATTATGTCATTGATACTGATGATGATAATAGATTTTTTGGCAATGTAGGGCTATGGCTCATAAGGTTCTGAGATTTGAATATGTAGTACAATCAGAAAACTTTGAGACAAGAAATTAAATTAAAGTGATACCAGGTAGATAGCATTGGTACTATTGCATCATTACCTAGTAGGAACTACCACAAATCTTGTTGAGTAAAAGGCATCCTCAAGCCAACCCCTACAGAATTTCTAGTGATTAATATGAAGGGCCTTCCAAAATCTATTGATAGAAAATGTAATTAAAAGATTTATTTTACAAAAAATCTCTTAATGTCTTTTATTTTTGCATTTTGTCCTGTTATGACTGATTATAAGCAGACTGTAGACTTAAAATATGGCAGTCTTGAGGAAAGTTTGACGAAGTATAATATGCAAGGTAAGATGCCTACATGTCATATGAAAAGGGCCTTTGCTTGATTCCTGGCCTTGGCTCCTGACTCCAGCTTTCTGCTACCCACATGAGAGGTCTGGATTGTGTTCTCAATATCAGCCCTCTGTGGGAGAATTTACTGAGTGAACCAATGGATGGCATCTCTGTCAGCCTCTAAAATTTTAAAAATAATAAAATATGACACTCTTAAAAATGCTGGAATTTTTAAGATCAACTTATTCTTTCTCTTTCTCTCTTTTTACTTTTATTTAATAAATATAAATTTATAAAGTACAACTTTTGGATTATAGTGGTTTTTCCCCCATAACCTCCCTCCTACCCGCAACCATCCTATCTCCCACTCCGTCTCCCATCCCATTCTTTATCAAATAGAGAGTATATATTGGATAAATGTTTTGGTAGAAATATTTACATTTGTAGTAAATTGTATGTAAATTAAAAGGTTTTATTAAATTTCAATGTAGTTGTTTTAAAATATAAATTCTGAGGGCTTCAAGATGGCAGAATAGGGAAGGAGCTCGCTGATGGTCTGGGAAAAGATAGAAGTGGAGATACTGTAGTCTCAGGGAAGAGTTAGGGAAAAAACTGCAGAGGAAACTCTTCCGGAATTAGTAAGACATGGTGGACCTATGTGGAGGGCAAGGGCGCCCATGGCTTGGGACCCCAGCTGCCGAGTCTATGCACCAACGCTGCAAAGGGAGGTGAGGTGAAACTGCAGTAGCCTGAGACATTGGCAAAAAAGCCACAGGAAGAACCTAGAGGGAACGAGGCTGGAAGCCCTGTGGGGGAAAGTACACCAGCCTAACTAGAGGAGAGGAAAAAAAAAAATAAAAGGGACCAGTACGGACATGATTCTCTCTCACCACTCACCTTACAAAGGTGAGCAAGACAATAGAACAAACGCCATTTTGGACAAACATAACAGCTGTGCTAGCTCAGGGCTGCACCTGCCCTCAGCCGAGCAGAAAAACCTGACTCTGGTGGGGAGAAATAACAGGAGATTAAGACCTAGTGAATGTGTGGAGCTTATGAACCAGGACTTTGGTTGTGTGGGAGAACTCATGGTGTGGCTGAGACATGAGTAGTCTCGGTGGGAGATGCCACAAATTCAGGCAGCTTTGGCTGTGTGGTGAGAGACATTGCAGGGGACTCTGAGCTTACACTGAGGACTGAACAGATTCTTTGTGTGGTCCTTGGGGCACAGCGGATGAATATTATACCCACAGGGGCTAGCACTCAGGCACTGATTGCCATCGAGAAGAGCTTAGCTGAGCAGAATTACTTCCCTTCTGAATAAAAACAAAGAGGGGGAGAGAGAGAGAGAGAGAGAGAGAGAGAGAGAGAGAGATTGATTTACCACACCAAACCCAGGTGTGTCACATTCGGTACACCCTTAACCCTGAAGAACTGAATAGAGCTCTCTGGCCACACCCACTGCAAGCCTCTAGAGATTCACCAAAAGCAGACAGTCCACTTAATCTAGAGTCATAGTGTAACAAGAAAAGCCACCACAGCGAGAAAAAAAAAAGAAGAAGAAACTAAAGAACATCTCCACAATGCCATGCAACAAAGGCAGAAACCGAGGAAACAAGAACAAGGAAGACATGACGCTCCCAAATGAACATGACACTCCAATACAAGATTATGAAGATGATGAGATAGAAGAAATGCAAGATACGGATTTCAAAAAAATTTGTGATAAGAACATTTAGAAGTTATCAAAAACAAATGCATGAGCTACAGAAATGAGTACAGAACAGGACAGAAAATCTCTCTTGTGAAAATGAAATCTTAAAGAGGAATCAAAATGAAATGAGGAATTTAGTAGAACATGAAATTGAGATATTTAAGAGAAATCAAAATGAAATGAAGAATTCAATAAAACAAATGAAAAACACAATTGAGAGGCTTAAAAACAGAATCAGTGAGATAGAAGAGAGAATATTGGACTTAGAAGACAGAGAGCAGGAAATTATACAGTCAAACCAAAGAAAAGAAAAGGAGATTAGAAATCTAAAAAATATTGTCATATATATTTCATATATCTTTCTTAATGATTTTCTTCATAGATGTCTCCTACAAAAACTTTTACAGTATCTCCAATACCCAGAATTGTTTGCATGGCTTCCCTATGCATCCTAAAGTAAATTAACACTCTTAATATTGACAAATGTGTGTTCAAAGTATTCTCAAATGGACATCAAAATCTCTTGTAGTTTTCTGAACTCCAGACTTTGCTGAGTCATGAAAATGAACCTGTGATACCTTTCCTTCTGGATTTACTCTCACATTTACAGATATTTTAGATAACATTTTATTTATTTATTTTTAATACTAAGATCACTTTTTTCATTTTTTCTTTATTTATGTGAACATATTTCATATTACATTAAATATTACTTACAGATTTAACAGCATAATGATACTTCCCACCTTACCCTCTCTCCTGCCCACACTCCCACCCTCCACCCACCTTCCTTTTTTATTCTTTCCTTTAATTTTTAAAATGGCATTCTTGTGGTTTATTTTATAATCATGAAATTAACTACTAGGTAAAAAATTGAACAAATAGTAAGAAGCAAAAACACTTCTCTTGTATGAAAGTTTATATTTAATGTGGTAAGGTTATTTCTTCTTAACTACACAGATCAAATGTGTATACTCTATCATCTTACCTAAACCTTGTAGTATATTAAAGCATGCTTTGATTTCTTTTGTCTCCATGTAACTCTAGGATAGCTTTCCAGCTCGATTTGGAGGAATTCATTTTGTCAATCAGCCATGGTATATCCATGCCCTGTACACTGTGATCCGGCCTTTCTTAAAGGAGAAGACTCGGAAAAGGGTATTGCTTCTTGTTTTTAATCCATTTTAAAATATCTAATTTAATTTCATAATGACTATGATGATTTAGCATAATTTGAAAAGAATGATATTCTGTACAAATTTTAGTATTTCTTTAACTTACAAACTACTTGGATTTCTCAATATTCAATTTAATCTAACATTGATGATAAGTCAAGTACATAAAATAAAATATTCATTGTTCTAAGATTAAAAATTATCTAAGTATTTAGCACTGAATGTATTTATTATCATTATTAAAATATTAATTTTAAAAGTAAATTTTAATGTACATTATTTCATTTAATCCTTGCAACAGCTCTCAAAAGTAAATTTAGTAAGAATTATCTCCTGTTTCAGAGCTGAGGAATTTAAGCCCTAGGATGCATAAGTAACTTGCTTATTCATGGATACACACAGCTGTTAAAGTTGTAGAACTAATACACAAATCAGAATCTTCCGGCTCCACATTTAGAGCCATTTTTACATCCTTTTGCTGTGTCCAATTTCCAAATGACTGGTTCCACAGTAAAATGTATTCACTTTAAAATCTATGTGCAAGATAATTTTTACTGCTTCTCAATGACTGAAAAGGCATATTGGGCATTTCAGTGTTGTAGAGGCCTCATTATGAGTGTGAAAGTATAGTAATTATGTGATTGTATTAGTGAGCAGAGGATTTACTGTATATAATTTCTTGACAACATTGCAGTAGTTTAGGAGGAATAATTTATGTTAACAATTGTTTCTACTACTAAGAATCACATTGTTTGTATTTTAGTATTCAGAATGTGTATTGAAGTGCCTTGCAAATGCACTTTCAAGCTCTGTTTTTTAAAGGAGTGATCAGGTGATCCAAAACACCTGCTGGGGTTTTTAGTACAAATTATACTAGCAAGTGCTTATGTAGTATTCACTCTATGCCACATGCTGTTCACAGTGCTTTACATATGTTAACTCATTTAATCTTTACAACAAGGCTTGAGGGTAAGTATTGTTATTTTTCTCACTTTATACACTGTAAAATGAGCACAGAAGGTTAAGCAATTTCCTCTGAATCACAGTAGGTAGTAGAGTGGGATTTGTAGAATTATGGGAAAAGGAATTCCAAGCAGAAGGAATAGCAAAGGCCAAGACTTTTAGTTAGACCAGGCCCACTATATTTGACAAACAGCAGGAGCCAGAAAAACATGTAACAGAATGAACTATGGGTAGGCTGGAAGGAGATGGGATAGGAAGAACAATGATGTTCTAGATCACATATGGCCTTGTACACCATTTGAAGTTCTGGGCATCAGCCAGAGAGAAATGAGACACATTTGAAAAGGTTTGAATACAGATGACTTATTCTAACATGATTTTGTCATGTTTCTGCTGTGTTGCAAAACAATCGAATCTAGAAAACAAGAAAATCACTAGAGTCAGGGGCTTTCTGAATCAATGTGCAGTTTTGACAGTGCCTAGAATAATGTTTGCAAACATTATTTCAGATGGAAAAGAGGTATCTGAACTTCATCATTTTAATGAAAAATACATGATTTGGAAATTTTTATATGTAAACAATTACAGATTAAAATATATTTGATTTCTACTGTATAATCCATGTACAATACAAAGCTATCATATTTCCTTAATGGTATTCCAAGTGATTCAGCATCACACTGTTACTCAACACTATATGCTTCTGATGAAATAAGTATATGCTCTATAAAACTGGCAAAAGAAAACCTAAGAAGCAGTTTTGTATCAACCTGCATAAACTTGTATATGCAAGAAGTATCTGGGTCTTCCTTTTCCATAATTAATTCTAAACTTGAACTTCCAGCAAGACTGGTTTAGGAATATCAATCCTGGATGTGATAGAGGGCCCTTTCCTTAGAATCTCATCTCTGGTATCTTTCCATGCAGAGACAAATTTCTCATCTGTATGGACCCATTTGACACCATCATGTTCAACCCAATATTCATTACTTAAATTAATATCCCTTTCTGCTATCAAGTTTTCTATGGAAAGTGGGACTCTTTGCTGAATCTGGAACCCAAGGGCTAGACTTAAACACTGCTTCCCAAGAGCTGACAGGAAGTAGTTTTCCCTACTAATTAAGGCGGATATGTCTTCCTTTTCGTCAACATAGTGGATTCTTTCTTCTGCTGGTTCTCAAAACTATTTCATCCCCTTCCTTTCCATTCCAGATCACCGAGTATAATTTAATTAATTTTAAAAAAAGGAAAAATTTAAAAAATGCAAGTGTTATTCAGGTCAATTCTTAGAATTTAAGGTACTCAGAAGCAAAGAGGTCCACAAAGACATTTTATTTATTTATTTGCGAGGCAGAATCACAGAGAAAGACAGGGAGATACAGAAAGATCTTCCACCTGAATGTTAACTCCTCAAATTGCCACAATGGCTGGGCTGAGTTGATCTGAAGGTAGGAGACAGGAGCCTCTTCTGGGTTTCCCAGTAGGTGCAGGAACTCAAGCACTTGGCTATCTTCCATTGCTTTCCCAGGCCATAAGCAGAGAACTGGATAAGAAGAGGAGCAGCCGGGCACAAACTGGCATCCATATGGAATGCTGGTGCCATAGATGGAAGCTTAACCTACTATGCCACAGTGCTTCCCAAAAACTTCTTAGGTAAAATGGATGAAGGGAAGAAATAGGGGGAAAACAGTAAAACCTCAGTAAATAATGTAATCACACAGAATGGATTAAAGCAAAGAAGAATCCAAGAGCAAAACTTTAACAGGTGAGCAATTGAAATGAATCTTTATTGTCCAGCCCCCAGAGGTGCTGACCTCCTGAGAGTTCAAGACAAATATGGAGAATTGAGCATTGATTTTAGCTGTGAGAAAGATGTGGGAAAGAGCTGTATTTGTTGTAGCAGACAGGACTCTTTGGAATGAATTTAGGGAAAATGAGAAGATAGTCTTTGCACAATGAACATAGACAACTCCTTTGGTGAATATTGTAATAAAGGGAAGTAAGATAAAGGGTAATACTGCAGGTAAAAGGAGGGACAAGATAGGTTTTGTGTTTCTGAGTAGGGAGCAGTGGAGTCAGCATGTTTTATTTCCCTGATGTTAATAATCCTGCAGAAAGAGAAAGTGTGATGATGTGAGAGGGACAAGAGAGAACGGATAAGAGATTTAAAAGTATGGGAGGGAGGGTGGATTCTAAATGCATGGGTGGAGGGTTGGCCTTTGTGAGGCTTCCCCTTCCATTGTAATAGCACTGAAGGCAAAGCACATAGACACAGATGCTGGTGGGTGGATCTCATCTGGTTGCCCTATTTTCTCAGTGAAACTGTAGGCAAGGCCAAGGCTGAAAGTGATGCTGAGGGAGGAGTGGCAGTTTTAGAGAGGAAGTAGAGTTCTAGGATTACATATACTGTTCTAAGGATTTATTTACATATTTATTGAATATTTTGAAGGAGATTTCTTACATAGGAAAAAAAAACATCTTATAGGCATGTGCTGTGGCACAGTGGGTTAAGCTTCAGCCCACCATGCTGGCGTCACACACATAAGGGAGCAAGTTGGAGTCCCTGCTGCTGCATTTCCAATCAGCTCCCTGTTAATGCACCTGCAAGAGCAGCAGAAGATGGCCCATGTACTTGGGCCCCTGCATCAATGTAGGATACCTGGGTGACACTCTTGGCTCTTGGCTTCAGCCTGGCCTCGCCCCAGCCATTGCAGCCATTTGTGGACTGAACCAGCAGATGGAAGATCTCTCTATATATATTTCTCTCTATCTCTCTCCCTCTGTCTGTAATTCTGCCTTTAAAATAAGTAAAATAAAAATAAAATAAAGGGTGTATGTATGTAGTAAAATAAGGTTTTCAGTGGCCAGAGCTTAACTTTCCCAGGAAAATTATTTTGTTTTCTTGAGTGTGTGTATGTGTGTGTGTGTGTGTTTGTGTGTGTGTTTTTCTGGGCATGAAAACTAGCTGCTGTGGTCTCAAACAGGAGTGGGAAGAAGTGAAGTTACGCTGTGAACAAACAGCCTCTTCCACCACTGGAGGCCCTGCATCATGGATCCCAGGCAGCCATTTGCTCTTCCTCTTTAGGCCAGTGACTTGCTGTTGTCTACTTTTATTCTTCCATAATTTGTTGAAAATATTTGCTAATTGATGACCCTATCCCTCTAATTTTATTTGCTGTTGTAGTCTTTGTTTTCCTATGCTGATATATTTACTTCAGCAGACTCTAAAGATGTGAAAAGCATATATTAATGTCCACTTTGAATCTGAAATTATTTTTAAATTATTTACAATCCTTAAGTATTACATGAGTTTATCTAAGACGATAATGATGCTTTATCTAAGAATGCTGCTCTGCAGTTTCGAGATTCAAATGGTGGAAGAGAAAAGAGGCATCAGTTTATAGGAAAGCAAATTTTGAGTATCTAGCATGAATAATATTTCACTTTAATAAAAGGTCCATATAGAAAATAATATTAATAATTAATGTATACATTCAACCTTATATTTTCATTACATTATTCCATTTTCTAATTGGATAATCAATATGGGAACCCCTAGTGGAGAAGATGCTGGCAACTTGCAAAGTATATGTCCATTGAGACATGAACTTCACTCAGCCTCTGACTATGATGATGCTGATCCACTTCTTTGATCTATATCACCCACTTTTCATTATAAAGCAATAATTTAGTGGTTACAGTATTCTTGTTTTTATTGATGATAAAGAAAAAGCCATGCTGTTGATCTGTAATTGACGAGTCCCTTATGAGAAGGGTCTGTTTTAACAACATTCATTATGCAAATTGTTTTGTTGGCACAACGAATGCCAGGATAATGTATGGATCAGCATGCACATCTTATTCTGCTCATGTCTCAACTGTGAACCAGGAAACCAAACTTGCAGTTTCATCTCTTTAACTTAGTAACTATCTGAGCTTCCAGAAAATACTTAAAATCCTTGAGCCTCAGTATTTTTTTTTTAATATCAGTATGATAGTCCTAGTCTTGCTTGTTTCCTGAGTGGATGAAGTACTTAGATCTTTTAGGATACAAAGATGACTCCTGTATGTGCTGTTTCTGTCCCTTCTGTCCCTAGGTTTTGGATAGTATTTACTTTCCTCTTTGTCTTTCCCTCCCATTCATCTTGCATTTATAGATATTTTTGCATGGGAACAATCTGAACAGTCTACACCAACTAATTCATCCTGAGATCCTGCCCTCTGAGTTTGGAGGAATGCTGCCCCCTTATGATATGGGAACATGGGCAAGAACACTGCTAGACCATGAGTATGATGATGACAGTGAATACAATGTGGACTCCTACAGTGTGCCTGTGAAAGAAGTAGAAAAGGAACTCTCCCCCAAGGCCATGAAGAGGTATGCTGATTGGGTAATGGGTTGGAACTGTGTGTGGGGAGAACACCAAGTTTAACTCTAAGATTTTCTGTATATATTTTTGGGTGATATTTTAAAGCCTTCCATACCTCTGTGATTATGTATCTGGTAATTTTCAAAGATAGTAATTTTTTTGTAGGAACAACATTTAAAATCTGCTCTCAAAAGTTTTTAGACATACAGCATGTTGTTATTAATACAGTTACAAGGCTGTAAAGGAGATCTCTGGAATTCATTCCTCTTAACTGAAACTTGGTGAACTTTGACCAGGGTCTTGTTTTTCCTTACTCTATACCCAATCCAATACCATCATATTCTTTACTTCATTTTTTAACATTTTTTTTGGTTCCACATATAAGATTGTATGAGTACAATATTTACTCATTACATAATACCTTGTAAATATGCACAATAATTGTCAGTTTAAAACTGACCAAGTCATTCAAGGCAACCTAAATTTAGTGTTGTTCCAAATTAACAGACAGTCTATCAGAGCTGTTAAAAATCACAAAACCCAGTGATTTTCAAATTGCATACCGAAGAGGCTGACATTTGGAGCCATAGTGAAGACACCATTTAGGATACCCTCATATCATATTAGAGTTCTCAATTCAAGTCCAGATTCCACTTCCAATACCAGATACCTGATATTGTGCACCCTAGGATTCAGCAAGTGATGGTTCAGGCGCTTGAGGCCCTGCCACTAACATGGGAGACATGGATTCAGTGCCTGTCTACTGAAATGGACTGACCTAGCCCTGGGAAGTGTGGGCCTTTGGAAGTAAAAAAGGAGATGGAAGGTTCTATGTATCTTTCTCTATCCACTTCTATCTCTATGCTTTTCATGTAAAGTGGAAATTAAAAAATAAATATAATTCTAGGCTGAGGAAGCAAGGATTTCTATGGAGTGCCTCCAGAGAAGAAGGGAGAATGGGGAGAACAGCCATTTTTATTATGTGTAATCCTGCTTTTGATCTAAGTTAACAAGACTTGTAAGAAGATGACTTTGGTTTCCTACATAAATTTTAGGAAGGAGTTGCATTTTCATGTGAAGAGATAGGAAGTTTTCAAGGTTGTGAATGTTTTAGATTTGGAGAGTTATTTGTCATTTTCAGCACCTTGGACAGTGTTTGGTGTTTAACAGTTGCTATGAACAATACTAATATTATTATAGTGAAGCGAACCTCTGGTTTTATTGAAAAAATTTAAACATTTGTTGTCAATACACACTTACCCCTATTCTAGTGACATATATATATATATATATATATATATATATATATATATATATATTTACTCATTTGCTTTGCATCAAAGCAGTTTCTAAGGTGATACTATCTCCATTATATTTATGAGGAGACCAAGACACAGGAAAGTTGACTAAAATAGTTTGTGTAACTAAAGGATAGCAATGCTAATATTGGTTCACAGGCAATAGTGTCCAATGATCTGCTTCCTTGACCACTTTCATTACCTATGTGACAGAATCTGTGCTGTATTTGTGTATGCATATTTACATAATATCCTCACCTTGTCTACATGATGTAGGTGTTTTATAAATAAAAGAAAAAAGCCTCAAGTCTAAAAACCTTTCCATGAAAACAGAGCTAACAAATTGCTTTCATAGAAACTGGAATCAATATTCATGTCTGTCCCAAATCTAGACTCTTAAACATGATATTACAGATGTATAATAACTGAATGAATGGACACCAAAAGTTAAGATATTGATTTTCAAGAAGTAGGGGGCCAGGGCTACTGTGCAAGGTGCAAAACCACTGTCTGAGATGCTGGCAACCATTTGGGTAAAGTTTTTGTCCTGGCTGCTCCACTTCCACTCCAGCTACCTGCTGATGGCCTGAGAAGAGCAGCAGAAAATGACCCAAGTGTTTGGGCCCTGAAACCTATGAGGGAGATACAGATGAAGCTCCTGGATTCAACCTGATCCAGCAATGGCCATTGCAGCCTTCTGGGGAGTGAACCAGTGGATGAGAGATTCTCTCTCTCTCTCTCTCTCATACTTCAAAATAAATATATCTTTTTAAAAAATACAGAAAAATTATTCATTACAAGGACTGCTGAAGCTATGTAGACAGATGAATGTGATGTATTACTGATAGACAATTCTTTCTATTAAACTGGGATAACCCAATTCATTTATAATTAAGTTATACTGTTACACAAGTAATCTTAAATGTCATTTAAGAGAATAAAGGGGAAAAGTTTGGTCTAAGATACAGTATGCTTGCAGCAACCAAATACCAAAAAAATCTTAATCACAAAGTGCTTCTGCCAGTTTTTTTCCTGCTTTTTGAGGAATTGTTTAACATTAGCATTTATCATCTAACAATGTAATACATGATAAAACCAAGCTAATAATTTGATCAAGCTGAACAGTGTCATGTAGTTTTGTTAAAATTTTCATATCCTCTAATATATTCTATAGACAAAAAATGAGAGAAAGAGAGAGAAAGAGAGAAGGGGCTCTATGATGTATGTTTTAATAGAATATTTGGCTGATACTTAAATTCTGTATCCTGTGCTGTCTGAAGAGTTTTGTTGTATACATTTTGGATATAATCAGAATATATCTTAACATTTATAGAATTGATTTAATTTTATGAGAATTTTTCAGGTATTTTATAAGAATTTCTTTCTCCATTATTCTCATTGCTTTTCATTTTGAAATCTGTTTTATTATACTATCCATTTTAAATTTTTATTAATATAAAGAGATCAGATTTGATGTATTTCATGGATATAATTCTAAGAAAATAACCATTCTTTCATTATGAAAATAATTTATTGTACAGGAATTATGACAATGAGATCTTATTGTGCAGCAGAGTGTATGGGTCTTACTTAAAGACTGCTTTAAAGACCTAAATACTAAGCATTTTTTTGCAATTGTACACTTTGTTAAAATATATTCTATTCAAGTTTATTTTCCCAAAATAATTAGACATCATTGAATTAAAAAGATACAAAATCCCTCCTCTTTCCCTGTTCCTCCTCTTTGTAGTCTTTCTTCTCTCCTTCTTTCTTTTTTCTCTCTTACAAATACCCAACAAAACTTTTGTCAGTCTCCTTTCTGAGATTTTCTAATGCCCATTAAATACTGAGACAAAATACAAAAAATTATATAAGATACCAAACCTCTTCTCTTTTTGATGCTGTCATTACTATTTCCATTCCGTCTTTTGAAATGAATTTAAGTTTATTTAAATGAAGGAGTCAGTTTATCCGTTAATCCTGTAATTATCTTTCTTTGATAATTAGTTCCGTTGCTGTTCTTTTTCATTAGTGTGTTCAGTTGTATTTTAGCTTATAGTCATTCTCTTCAAAAGTTAATGAGGTCTGCAAAGAGGCACACTGCCACAGCAAAAGCCAAATGGCTGGAATGCAGCAGCAGCAGAAGAATTCGTTATCCAAGAGAATTTTGAAAGGGCAGCTGCTTCTTTAATGCTGCAGCTATTAGGATGGCAGCCTCTTGCACAATAGTATCTTGTTTCATCGATTTTTCTCCTTCTCACTTTCATGTTTTCTTTTATTAAATTATTAATGTAAAGAGAACAGATTTCATGCATTTTGTGGGTATAGTTCTGGGAAGATTATCATACTTCCTTCCCTTCCTCCTCCCTCAATACTCCTCCTTCCTTCTTTTCTTTGATTTTTGCAGACATATTTAAGTTCATTCTTATCCACACTTAATTCACCACCAACCATGATATTCAACAAGTAAAACGTAAGACCACAGTTCCACAGGAATACAAAGAAGGACTAAAAATAACAATCATATCATATGATGTCCATTTCATGCTTACTTTTTTGCATTCTCTGTTAACTGCCACATATCAGAAAAAACATTATATTTATCTTTTTGGGACTGGCTTATTTCACAAAGTCCCACATGCTATCAAAACTTGTGTAAAGAATTTTCAAATTATGTGCTTTTCAAATCTCAAAGTGTTGCTTCTTAAGCAAAAGAATTTTTTGGTCTTTAAAAACCCATAACTATTTCATAAAACTTGCAAGAATAAGATAGTTTTATTTAGATGTTTTGGTGGGCAGTTTAACTAAATCGCATTAAATTTTGCTTTTTAACTAGACATGATAATGAATGATAAAAATGAAAGTTAAAAATGCACATTCATGTTGAATTATTTTATAGATTCCTTGAAAGTAGGAATCAGGCTTTCCACAGTTTCTATTTAATTTACCGTAATCATTTCAAAGTAGTATTTTTTTCCATTTGAGATATTTTATTGAAAAAAATCTGTTCTAAATTATAAATTCTTTGTCACAAAGAAAAGAATCTTGCTCAATGCAAAAAAATTACACAAGAAACAAAACCTCTTCTTTTTTTGATGCTGTCATCACTATTTCCATTAATAAGCAAACTTAAGCCTATTACTGTGGGTTTAGAATCTTTTGCTGCTCACTCTTTATTTAAGGGTCAAAGGGGGATTGTTTTCTCACACTGATGCATACCACCACCATAACTGTTTTTCTCTAAATGTGCAACATACACAGTTCATGAATTCCTTGATGTAGGGAAGGATTATCCTCATCCATGGGAGAATTAATGACAAGGAAAAGACAGAGAAGAGAATGTCATGTGGCTGATTACTTGCTAATAACTCGCTGACATTGACTTAATCCTTTCTAGATCCCAGTCAGTGGTGGATCCTACAGTACTAAAACGCATGGATAAAACTGAGGAAGAAAACATGCAACCTTTGCTTTCTTTGGACTAATAACTTCTCTACATCTCTCCTGTGGATTAGAAGTGGAAGGTACTGGTTTTCAGCAACAGGGACAGCACTGTGGAGGAATTACCAGATGGAGACCTGTTTATTGATGTTAATATAGCTTAATATATGATAAAGCACCAGGCTTTTCCATTTGCCTGAACCATAGGTGACCTGGGCTGGAAAATAAAACAGAGAGTCAATAATTTATTCTGTAAGTGCCAAGTTCATTGTAAATATAATGTACTCTTCATGCCAAGTTTGTAAATTTTGGTAATAATTTAATGGAAAACGAATGACTCAAAAGTTGGTGCCAGTGATATTAACTTTAACAACAAGCAGAGAAGACACATAAACAAAAATTAATTAAATGTAGCCCTGTTTCCTATGAGCCATATTTCAGCTACCATAGTGACCATTTTATTGTTTTTCTCTAAAATTATCAATATAAAGACCAACTTTGAATGGACACAGGGGGCTGAATAATTCTTGGCAATTATTATGATTAATGTATCTCCTGTCTAGTGATTTTCATTTCAGAGAAATTGTATCCTGGGACTATCACTGGCCTTACATTTTGGAGCAAAGAATGGCAGATGAGCTGGTGAACTGAACATGTGAACTCTTCTATGTTGTTTGATTCTGGAGTTTTGCAAAAAAAAAAAAAAAAAAAAAAGAAAAAAGAAAATGTTTAGCCAATTATGTTGTGGAACTCTGCAACAGAGTGGATTCTTTTAAAACTACTGTCTTCACAATGTGCCCTTGTTTCGAGACCCTATGGTATCCCTATCTGATAAATTTAAGAACATTTTCCTCCCAACACTCTAATCAAGAGAGTGAGAACTCATATATGAATAATGTTTTGAAAGCTAGTTTTGAACATAGAATTTGCCACTCACAGATAAGGGGCTAATTTATAATTATTGTGCACTGGTTGAAAAAATATATATATATTCACACCCACAACGTATATATTTTTAATGAGCTCTAATCAATCCTTGATGTGATAAGCTTATAAAATAAATCACAAATATTCAATGGTATTAGAGATGTATGTTATAGATAATTAAATGAGATATGAACACTAGACAACCACTTCACCTTCTGAAGTTAATGAAAATGAGAAATAGTGAAATATACTCTCAGTGTATCTATTAATGGAATAATCCATTTAATTTATAATGCAGTCTTGAAAATGTGCCACTTTAGTGGCATATATTTTTCCTTTAAAGAGTCAAGAGATTTCAACATAATGTAGATGTCAAGTGACAAGTAAAATGATTTTTTCTCATACTTTAATTATCATAATGATTCTGTGTGTACACATTTCTGTTCAGAAAATATTGAAAGAATGTATTGCATTGAGGAGATATATGAGGAGGTGAAATTAAAGCATCTGAGGGCATCTAAGACAGTTTATACTAATTTAAATCTATATTTAGAATTCATTTATTATTTAAATTTTTATTTCATAAGAATTCTATAGTTGTAGCTACTTCTGAAAATCTTATTTTAAATTTCAAATTCCAAAGTGTAAAAGAATGATTTTTATCATCATTTCAATGTGATGAATTTTAAGATTGAGAATTTATCATTAAAATATTCTTTTGAAAGAGAAAAGTATCTCTAAGAACTCTTGGCAACCAACAGAAGTAAAGGCCTCCACACACTTTGTAGCCAAAAACTCCAAATACTCTAGTTATAATTCTACTGTCAAAACCTTAAAAACAAGGTCAGTATACCAATCTCCAGTCCAGCAATAGACTAGTGAAATAAAAATACATAAATTAACATGAGTGAAAGATACCATAATAACAATGTCAACCTTGAGTTAAATTCATAATTATGACTACCAGGTACTCTATTCCACCTGTGACTATCACAGAGATTGGGGTGAACTGGGGATAAGAATTCACAGCAATTCTCAATCTTTCTGAGATCCCTAGTTATTAACCTCATTTTTTTGCCCACCTGACACACATTTTATAGCTTTGGGCTTTATATGCTATATAAACAAGTGTTAGCTTGTATGATCTATTGGAATGAAGTAAAAGTAAATGTAATTACAGAAGGGCAGTCAGTTGTTCATTCTCATGAGTTTCTTTTGATGTTCACCATTTGTTGCCAGGTTTCAGAATTCTACCAGCTTCAAATGTCAACCAACATACCCAACTTCTTTCCCAAATCCTGAAGTTAGTATTATATATGACTAGAAAGTCGTATTTTATCTGTGTATCTATCTAATTATAAATACCATTCATACTCTTTGCCTAACCTACATTTGGAAATTGCACTGGAATTGCTACACGGCTGTTCTTCAAGTGAGCAATTGAGAGTTGGCTAGGTTGTACGAAATATTTCAAAATGAGTGAACACATTACAACAGTGATGCCTTTTGAAAATGCTCTATCTAGCTCAGACTGTGAATAAACTCATTTTCCAGTAATGTTTGTGAAGCTGCTTAGTCAAGGGATATTTGTTCAACTTCATAAATTTTGCCCTCAGCACCAGTTAACTAGCAGTGTTTGGAAATTTTTCCCTCATGTGATTTTCTGTGTCACATTGCTATGTCTGTTATTATGTAATCAAGTAAATAAGTACCCTATAATGTTTTGTTTTAATTGCAATAGTATGTTCTCTCTCACTTGCCCTCTCTCTCTCTCTCTTCCAAAGTATTTGCTCTGATGAGTTTGTCTCTCTACTTGGAGAACAATGATTTGCTTTTTAATCATCTTGTTACTTGAGATTTTTGTACTTTACAGAATTACCACAATTGATTTGGTGTAGGCCAATAGTCCATTTACTTCTGTCGCTCTGCCTGCTTCACCTTCTATTTCTGATCTCTTTTCTTTCTTCCTGTTGTTTCAGGGGCAGCTGCTTCCAAAGCTGGTTTAAAAATAAATAGCTCTTCTTATCACATTGTCAGTGATATTTACACACATTTTTGACTGCTATTTAAAAAGGAAGAGACTATCAAGAAAATATACTCTAAGAAATATGAAGTGCCTCTTTAGAAATGGAGTAAGGCAATGATGCTGGCATATGGAGTTTATTTATACTGTTCTCCGAAAAATAAATACATTAATCTGTATTGTAAGGGTGAAATATAATTTGAAGAAAGATATTTGAGGCCTTGCTTTGAGTATTCTCATAAAGTGTTAAATTTCTATTGTTTAAGTTCAGTACAGTAACTTAATACCTGTTAATAATAAACCTGGCACTGTGCTAAAACAATATACAAGTATTAGAGTTTTGCAAGCAAGTTTTGAAATGGATATGTATGATTTATTTCAACAGGCAGAGATATTCCTTAAAGCTTTTCATGTAAAATGCTTGCTTATTTCATAGTCCTAAAAATTCATTTATTCATAAGCAGGAAAACCAAGCAACTAGGCTTTCATTAATATTGTTAACTAGGTCACTTATAGTAAACATTTGAAGTTCCTGTAATATTCCTGAGGAAATAGAAGTCCCTCTGTTGTATTGAGAAAGTTGAAAGTTATTATAGATGTCTGGACACATGATTATGACTTTTCACAAAAAGAAGAGTTATGGCAGCATGTCTTCCAGCTCAGGTATCCCTTGCTTCTACAAACAACCTATACATTTATGGATATGCCTGTCGACCTGAAAAGAAGTTATGAAAACCTGTGGAGAATCTGCGTACTTTTCTGTTGTTTTATTTAAAGATTTATTGTGTCTGGTTGGTTCATAATATTGCTTGCTTCTATTTTTTGGTGTGTATTTATTAATTACTACTTTAAAACTTGCCATCATCTATAAGGACATTCAGAAAATTTTTAACACACAAAATAAGAATAATTCTGGCATGATATTTGAACTTTCAGAGATAGTATTTACATGTTTGACATGAAATAAATTCCTAGGCATATTTGATTTGATATCAGCTCTATAGATATATAGCCTAAAACATATTACTGTATTTTAACTTTGTGAGGCCATCAGATCATACAAAAATTAACAAATTATCTACAAACGTATGGAACATAGATTTGTTTTATCAAAATGCTGTTTCCTATATTTTATATTCTACAACTACTAGAAAAACTTTCAAAAGTTAGCTTTAAATGAAGAAGTAGACTTTTTAAGTTGCACATGGAAGAGGAATGACCAGTAAATAAAATAAGCTTTCCACATGTCTTCATAAAATTATTGGATTAAATTCAGACACTGGAATTATTTTAAAAAGTTGATTCAAATGACTCCTACCAAAATTACATCAGGTCAAATATCAAGTAAAAATATTCAGCCTAATTTGAAAAAAGAATGCTTAATAAATATACATTTGCATCATCTATGAGTTTCCCTCATTTACCCTATCTTTAGATGAAAATCACGTAGTGTGAAATAGAAAAACCTGATTGTCTTTAGCTGGAATCATGTATAATAAACCTGATGAATTTTTGGGGGCACAAATGGTCGTTACAGCTTTTGAGGTCAATGAGAATGGTTACTGCTGATTCTTTGTGTAACCATATGAGGAGGGGCCAAGTTTCCAGCAGTCACTGCAGAAGTATGCTGAGTGAGAATAAGCCCATGCCAACCACAAATGCAAGGAAGTCAGAGATATGGTCTTCAAAAATGGTGTGTTCCTTTCTGAAGGATCAAGGGGGAAATATTATCACTTATGAAAACATAAATATATGCATATATAATGTCAAGGGTGTCTAACATAAATATTAAACACTTAGCCAATGAAAAGAGTCCACAAGGAAGTGATGAGAAGGCTGAGTTGTGGGGTGTATCCATGAGCATGAACTCCTTCCTCTGAGCATCACTTCTTTCTCATAGAACAGTATGCTCTCTCCCCTTTAATTGATATTGTGCAAAGATAAGACACACATCACACACTTTCTTGCCTTGTAAGAAAAAATGCTATGTTTAAACATATATATTTGCACTCATATGATTGAACTATTTGCATGCTAACATACATTATTACCTAAAAATTTAAAAATATAAGGTTTTAGTGATAGAAATTTATGAAATGATGTTTGAATCTTGAATTCCTGGAGAAGCTTGGTAATATCCTTCCTTTTGCAATTGTGTAACTAACATTTTTGCTTGAATGTCTAACAACCATGTAAAATTTAACATTTTCCCAACCAAACTTGTCCATCCTCTCCCTGAACCCCACCTCCCATTAACCTCTTCACCTCACTAAATGTCAATTCCAAACATAACGTTTCTAAGGATGAAAACTTTGTTGTCATCTCCTTCTCTTTCTCTCAAAGTCACGTTCGGTCAGCTTGCCCACATCGTTGGCTGTCCATCAAAATGTACTCACGTTCTGACTACTTCCTTGGTATTAGACTTCAACATTTGTCATGTGGAATACTTTGAAAATCTTAAAATGAGTTTGCTTACTTCTTCCTTTAGCTTGTAGAGTCAATTTTCAACACATTAGCACGAATGCACCTCTAAAAATGTAACCCAAATCCTTTTGTTTTTCTCAAACCTTCTGAAAGAGTAAACGCCAAAATCAGACAATGTTGTTGAGGCTGCTTCATATGAAATTAGTAAGCAGCAGTAGAGCAGAATAGCATACTTTCTCATTGGGCTGGCGCTTTGGTCTGTACAGTGTGAAAATAGTTGTAAAATATTTTTAAAAGATTTTATTTATTTTATTTGAGAGAGTTACAGACAGTGAGATGGAGAGACAGAGAGAAAGGTCTTCCTTCTGTTGGTTCACTCTCCAAATGGCTGTAACAGCCGGAGCTGCAACAATCCAAAGCCAGGAGCCAGGAGCTTCTTCCAGGTCTCCCACATGGGTGCAGGGGCATAGGGACTTGGGCCATCTTCCACTGCTTTCCCAGGCCATAGCAGAGAGCTGGACTGGAAGTGGAGCAGCCGGGACTAGAACTGGCACCTATATGGGATGCTGGCACTGCAGGCGGAGGATTAACCCACTGTGCCACAGTGCTGGCCTCGCAAAATATTTTAAGCTTTGCTTCTAATATCCTCTCACCCAAGACCTTGCCTTTTTTTCCCTCTTACAAATCTCTCTCTAATTCTATGTTCACTTGCCAAGCTGCCATCCTTACTGTTCCAGGAACTTAATGAACTTGTCTAAGGGAATTGCACTCTTTCCTTCTTTCTCTCAGATATCTGTGTGGTTTATTCCTTTACTCAATTCCTTTACTCAATGCCACCTTCTTAATGAGGACTCTGTTTCCCTATTTAAAAGGAACGAGCTCTATGGTCCTTAATAGTTGCCTTTTATGTTCCACATTTTCTCCATTGAATTTATCATCTGATATACCATACAGCTTATTTATTTATTGTATTTTACATTTTCTCCTGACAGAATATGAACTCCATACACACAGGGATTTTTTTCTGTCCATTTACTGTCATAATAATAGTGCCTTGAACAATACCTGGAATTTAACAGCAAATCCCTAAAGATCCCATAAAGATCTTGATTTGGTTCAGCAAGTTATATAGTTATCAGTGAAATACATTTAAAGGAATTTTTTCAGCTTTCCTCTTAAAAGCATCATATTATTATTATTCTTCAAAGAGGACATTTTTGCTTTCTAGTGATGATAATATCATGAACCAAAAATTATATGTTCTTTGCCCAAATCTGGTTTCTCTCTCAGAGCTCAAGTATGGCATCAGTGTTTCAGTTTTGTCTTTGAAAATTACTCTTATTTCTCTCAGGTACACTTGACTCTTGAGGCTATGAGATATCTCAAATGAAAAGCCCTTTTGAGATCAAAACCATGGTGAATTATTCTTCATTAATTATCCTAGTTAGTTCCAATTTTAAAAAATTACAAGAGTTGACAGACCACAATCTCTGAAGTATTGGAAGCCAATTAAAAAAGAATATGTGTGTATAGTTACTTTTACTAGAAGTGGGGAAAAAAAAAAAGATGACGATTTGGAAAAGAAATTGTGTTCAGTTCTTCTGTGACACAATCATAAAATGAATGAGGAAATATTTTTGGTATTTCATGATTCTTTCCATGACCTCTGATTCTATATAACATCACCATTTAGCCTGTAAACCCTTTTAACAAGTCTTCCAACAGTTAGGCTTGATATTTGAGTTTTTAAAAAACCTGATAATTACAGTCCTGACACAATGATAGAATTGCTCCTACACATATAGTCTTAACAGGATTTTCAGAGTTCTCCTTTCTCCTCTTGAATTTCAGCTATCAATTTCAGAACCTGACAATTATATTTCCTGTTATCAAGCATACCAGATTTTTCTTTCTTTCTAGTTGGACTGAGTACTCCATAATTTCAGTAACCACATATATTCAGTACTACTTTTTGGTATGATGGGTTTCTGATTTTAACTTTTCATTCTTACCGAATATTTTCCTCAACTACATTATTGTGCCTTTCCCCATCTTATAATAATTCAATCCTCCAATCACCTACCAGACCTCCTATTACTAAGACACTGAAACTAAAGACTTGTCAGATGATACTGAAGAAGGAACCATAGCCTGAAAAATAAGGATATATATTTGGAAATGTTTTCAGAAGTCAATCGGTCTGATAGTGGCTTTGTGGTGAGTAAGGGCTCTGCTTCTTTTTTGTGTATTATGTTGAACTTGTTGATACAAACTATGTTTCTTGTCAGTTATACAAATGTATGGCAATCAGGGTCAAAACATACTTTGGAAAACCTTGTTTAAAGAGGAGAACAATGGCATTTGCTCAAGAAAATTCTTGTGTTTTTTATTAATTGATCTTTAACGTCTGTAATATCCCTATGCTAGTTTTAAAAATGTATTTATCATCATTTCCTAAATAAAGGGTTGAAATTTCAAGTTCAAGAATACACAGTGTATGGCAGATACTGTACTCCATGTTCTGTTCTACTGAATTTTGCTTCCTGTCATAATTAATTTTATGATTAGATCCTAAGAATATGTTATTTAGTAAATTTTATTACGTACATCTGTTTATGATGGATTTAGAAATTTTACAAAGCAAATCATTATTATATCCTTTAAACTATAATATTAATGTTTCATTTCCTTTTTAAAAAGGAACTGTCTTATGTCTGTTGATTTCTGATAATGAATGGAGTTCGGTTAAATATGATATCACTAAATGAAATTTTAGATTCAGAAATATGGGTTTGTATATTTGCACTTTAGGTTTAAATAATAAACTAAATTCCTATAAATTTAAGAAACATATCAAATAGCTATGGATAAGTTTATCATTAAAGCATATAGATATAAAATTGGTGCTAATATTTGGAATTATGTTTTAAAATGAACTTTTATCATATCTGGTTACTTTGCACTTGTTTACTTAATTAAATGTATTTAAAAAAGTGTTATAAACTCAAGTCACTATTAAGAATTTCCCCATTTTTAAGAGATACTGACACTCTTCTAACTCTATAATAGAAATGAAATAAATATACCAAAAAATGGTAGTTATAAAATGTTTCATGTAAAGCAACTGATTGAAATGGATGATGATTTCAGCTTATTACATTTTACACTTGAGTTTATTGAGCACTGTGTCCCAAGCACTATTCTAGGTACCAAGGGTTTAGAAACAAACAAAAAAGCCCTTCCCTTCTGAGATCCATATTCTAATCCAGAAGACACACTAAGCAAAATATATAAAATGCTATAAGTGTGATGAAGATGTACAAATTTCATGTTGCATTTCTGGCACTTTTCTCGTCTGTAAAATGAAGTCATAATTATGTAAGCAATAATAGCTAGATTTGTTTTATAATCTCTTGGAAACCTGGCTGCCTTCTTTCTAGGCAAAATCACAATATAGTCTCCCATAAGTCATGGTGTTTGGGGATGGCCCTTGCTGTTACATGGTCCTCGTTCCCCAGCTAGGAACTAGAAGTTGTTTCCAAGGTAGCAGATATTCAGGACAAATGCATCTCATAAAGAGTTTTTCAGATTCACCTAGATGTTCCAGCTCCTGAAAATTTTACTTCTCTTAAGGGAATTTTTTTACTACTCTAATTTCTTATAACTGAAAAGTAAACATGATTTTTTAGTAGAAAAGAAAAAGAATCAGATTTCACCATTTGCTATTTCCACATAACCTGTAGTTTCCTTTTATCTATAGTCAAACCACAAACCCATAGTTTCCGTTGATGGATTCAATTCATGAGACAAAGTTAAAGAAAGCCCTAACAATTGATCTAGAGGTGGAATTGAGGTAGTATTAAAAGGATAATTTCCTGATAATATGTGGTATTTAATGAGAATTTTGGGTGTTTTGTTAGATTATAAAAGAGCTTGAGAAACTCATCATAATAAAGTCTAAAAGTATGAAGAGAGTAAAAGATTACTATGGATATTTATTTTAACTTATTTAGAAATAATCAGGAGAAATATTATTAATATTATTAAATATTATGTTTTAAAGAAACATGGACTATTTCTGTTTCTTTAGAAAGTCACTAAATGAGAGTATCTATGTTAATGCAGAGGCTTTACCTGCTATGCCACAGTGCTAGCCTCTACATACATATTTTAATATTTTGAATAATTATGAGGAAATTTGGCAATAAGTTGACTAATAAAGACTGCCAGACAGGTAGTTATTAACATGTTGGGAAATATTATTCCTCATCTTAGCCAAAAGCTATCTCTTATATTATTTTTTGAAAATAATAGATGCTACTTCCTGAAGATCCGTCAGACATGAGATAATCCAAATCTTTCATTTTATTAATGTATGTAAAGACCTATAAGGTTTTGCTGAAAATTACACAACTAGTTAAGAGAATGCTGAGCCAAAATCTCAACTACCCTTATTGTACCTAGTGATGTTGTTGATTTTAATAACTTTCACCCTGTTGTGTTCACATTTTCTATTAAACTGTCATACCTAACCATGCCCCATTTCATTTTATTTATATCATTAACTTAGAGTGCTCCATAAATATTACATTTGGTAAGTATCCTCTAATTAAAAAAGGAGCAACAGTCAGGGAATTTCACATTAGAGACAAGTTTTATGTACCTACTATTCCCTTTCTTTCGGGATTTTAGCAATCAATAGATTTGGGGTGAGCCCAGTACAGAGAGCAGGTGAGATTTCATCAGGCTTATGTCTAAATCAAATGATAATGATTCAATGAATCTTGTGTTTAGAAACATATTCACTGACTTTAAAAAATTCTTATCTGAGTCCTTTTCACATCTCTTTTCAGATAGCCTTCATTTGACCAATAGGAAGGGAGAGTGGCTGGAGATGACTGTCAAATTTAGCTCTTAACTTTTAATTCTTTGCTTTTCAATGATTTAAAGTAAACAGAAGTCTAGGATGTTGGAAAACTTTTGCTATCATATGGCTTCCAAGCAGCTATGCAATGTATGGGAGAGCTGTAATACTGTTGAAGAGGGAGTTCTTCCCACAGGTTGATTGAGAAGTTCCACTCATTATATAAACTTATGTTTTCCTCATTGGATTTACTGTACAAATTTTATGGACTAAAATTTTAACAGATTAGAATTTCTCAAGCATAAAAATTGGAGAGAAATTGTAGAATTGAATATTGGTTTAATCCGAGCACACAAAATTTTAATTCCATTTACCAGCAGATAATATAAAATATCAGATTTTCTTGAGGTTATTTTAGCATGGCTACTGTTGAGTTTAGAAAATTGTGGTCTTGGAATAACTTGACTATTACCATTTTACCTCACTTTTTATGGATTGATGTTGTCTAAAATAATTCATGAAAACACTATTTTAGCCCAATACTGAGGATATACACAAAGTAATATTGTCAATTCATTTTATAGGAGTCATTATTTATGATACCATTCTATTCTGAGACTCATCTGTTTTAAATATGGTGTCTCTGAGAAAATAAATAATAGTTAAAATGCATAGCTCCATACATGATACATTGTAAATTCCAAGTGTACCATAAATTTTACCAAGTAAAAGTAAACCATGCATAAGAGTATTAATAGGCAGTATGAAAGCCTTCAGAACCTTGATCTTATAAGGAAAATCCAAAAAATTAAAAAAAGTAGATAACCTTGATTTAATGAAATTCTAAAATTTCTGCTTAACAAAATCATAGCAAAGGCCAACTGACATACAGGAAAAAATTTCAATTAATATCATGACATATGGCTAAATTCTCTCATATATTAAAGGGCTTCTTGAAATTGATAAGAAAAGGAAAAGCTCAGTAAGAAAATAGACAGCTGATGTGAACAGATGGTTTATAGAAGACAAAATGTAGTGGCTCTAAAAATAATAAAAGATGCTGCATCATACTCAAAATGAGAGAAATAGAAATTCAAACTATGCAGTGACTTGATAATACACTTTCAAGGAAGATGTGGAAAAAATTGTTTTTCATTACATTGCTATTGGAAGAGTACATTGAAGCAATTTCAATGGATGATGATTAAAACTACAAGTGGAAGTAGGCTTTGATCCAGCCACTTCTCTGAAATTCATTCTTCAAGAGTATGTGCACATGCCATATGTGTTTATATACACACATGCACATATATGTTTATATATGTATACACAAAATATATTCATGTATAATTGTTGACAAGAATAGAAAATAAGAGGATATTAAAAAATGTTAAAAATAATATATCCATAGAGATGATGATACATAAATCTAATACAATCTGCTTAAATTGATATAGCCATCCAAAAGAATACTATATGCAACACACACACATACACACACACAGAAACCAGGAAACATTATATGAACTAGAATTTTAAGAAATCGAGGTACAGACATTATATAGAACATTTTTTATACTTTGTGTAAAAATCTTGACAGGGAGATAATGAAATATATCCATATTTGTTAATATATTCTCAAGGAAATGCAAAAGAATATAAAAGGATTAATAATGTTTGTTTAGGGAGTTGGAAACTGAAGATTGGGACAGGGTGGAAAGGAGTTTTTCCCCTTTTTCCTTACATTTTTCTCATTGTTGAACTTTCTGAATGTATTACCTATTAATTTTTACAAAAAGTCAAGTATATTTTGTTGTCTTGAACCATTCTGACATTGACATGTTAAAGTTTGTAATTTGTCATAAAAAGGAATACTTATGTATTCACAGCTCAATGTGTGTAGAAACAACTAACAGTAATTTTAACTTTTTCTGCATGTTATACCCTCCAATTTCTGCTGAAAGATGACTGTCCAAAATCTTATTTTTCTATAGTCTTAAGACTTATAAGAAAATACTTATGTATGTATCTTTAAAAATATACCATTGCATGTTCGAATTTAAATAAATATTGTCATACTATATACATTTTACAGCTTCTTATATTCACACAGTTCTATGTTTTTGAGATTTGTTAATGCAGAAGACCTGAATGCCATGCATGTTCATTCCTAGAAGTTGGATTATCAGAAATATTTTATGGAAGAATGAAATTATGTCTTTGAACTTTTGTCAAAATTCAATTATCTGAAAATGGTAATTTCCTTATGGAAATACTCAAACTATTAATCCTTTATCCTAATCCTATATCCTCCATAAATTTAGGAGAAATCTACTTTTAGTGATTAGCTGAGTCGTTTTTGGAGATTATGTTTCTTTTTCTACAATTTTGAGCATTTTCACTGTTTTGAAAGATTATTTGCATAAATTTTATAATTGCTACTTTTAAAGATACATATGCTGCATTTGTATTCATTTCCTCTGTTTCTCATCTTTTACTTTTAACTGTACCTTTGCTTCCAATTTCACTAATTCTACCATAATCTTTATTGTTTGCACTTTTTTACCTTTGTGTACTTTTATTTTTTTTTTATAATATCTCAATTTGGATTCTAAACTATTAG